ATCTATTTTGTAGTAGTTAAATCTGCATTATTTTTTTAACTTGATTTGAATTTTGATTAGATTTAATACAGATCTAAAACAGATAAGTAGAGAATCTCTGTGTTCCCTCAAAAAAGAGGAAACATAAAAAAAAAGTCCCAAAAAACGAATGAAGATGAACTTTGAAACCAATCTCATAGTTTTTGTAATTTCCTCTTTGGAAGAAAGGATAATATTCTTTCCACACTGTGAAACCAATCTCATAGTTTTTATTTTTATTTTTTTGGTGATTTTAACATTAAAGAATAGCTACCCTAAAATTTTTCTTTTCAAAAAGAATATTTAAGTTAAAGATAATTTGAAATTGTTTACCAAATAAGAAAGGCACCAAATATATGTCCCCAGAAGCTATGCCTTATAGCTAACATCAAGAGAAAGAAAAAATGAGAGAGAGAGAAGAAAAGCCTGCAGCTCTTGGTCAATTTAGATCTATTGTTAGAAATACCCAAAATTACGCCAATTACCCAGAGTACTTCTAGTTTCATCTCGAGCCTTATGCAACATACTCCTTCATTATTTTCCATATTTTTTCGTCTCTGTTTCTCAAGAATCTAAATTAAGAAAAAAAATCTCCTTTGTCTGATTTTACTTTCTTCACCACAGTGAAATCCTAGCTAAAAAATACCCCAAAATGGCAAACATATTAAAGCAGTGGCAGCGTTTCTTGGCCATAATCATCTTGAAAATAAAAAGCAAAGAGACAGATAAATCATGATTGATCTCTATCCAAACCCTAATAAGAAGCTCATAAAATAGGTCATTTTAAAAGCCTACCATCTCCAATGCAAATAAATGTCAATTGTATATTTAGCATCAAAAGTATGATATAGTATGTTATTTTACTTTTTAAATGCATAAAATTATTTAAAATGCTAAATCTACTTTTTTTTTTTTATAATCATTAAGGGTCTTTAGTTCTAGAACTTGAATTCATAATTATGATTCTGCTCTCTCACAAAAAATTTGAATAAAAAAAGTTTATGTCAATGGGTTACCTCACAAAATTTAAATTCAGAATCAAAATTAGTGACTTAAACGTTTGAACCAAACGGGCCATAAGCTTTAAAAGTTGTAAAAAAAAAAAAGCTTTTGTTTTTAAAATAATTAAAAAATGTAAAAAATTATAATGATTACATGAAAAAGTAAATATTTCAACCAATAACAATCAAATGCCAAATTTTTAACGTGCAATACTTGGTAGGAACTTTGCCATACAGTATAGTATATGTGAAATTTAACACAATAAATAGTATTACATTAGAGGTTAGTTTTTGCACATTTATTAAATTTTAATTGACACATTAATTACAGCATTATATTAGAGATGCTCTAAATAAGGCAAACTTCTCAAATGAACTATTAAACACGACAGAGAAGACAAAGTATCAGTACTACTTATACTATTACATCACGTACAGCTACAAAATTTTGTTTGAATTTTCTTTAATTGACTGCTTTCAAGATCCATCAAAATCCAACCTTAGATACATTAAATTTTCCTATTCACCACTTTAAGAGAGAGAAAGAGAAGAGAGACAGCAATATGCCCATTTCAGATTAAGAATTTCTCGCTGAGAATACCTAGCTATAGCAGAAGAGAAACAGTAATAACACTAGAAGAGAGAGAGGAGCTGAGAAACCCTATAAGAGAGGCAGATTGGTTGTACCATTTTCAAATTGAGGAATATGGTTGGATTGGATACCTATTTGTTAAAGTGAAAGACATTCAAATATGGTTTGCCTGAATACAACAAATTAAGACTACAGTACCATTCAAATATGGTTTGACTGAAAGACATTCAAATATGGATTGGATACCTATTTTTTTCCCCCTTTTTTTTCTTCATTTTAAGACCTTTTAAGTTGTGCAGGTGGATAATGACCCTTTTGTCTTTTGATTTTTTGGCTTGGTGCATTAGCCATTATTATTAGTGTGCGAAAGAAATTTTCAAAAGAAAATGGCTTTTTCTTCCAAGTTCATATCCAATGCACCTTATCCACCCCCTCCTTCAAGTCTTTTCTTTTCTTCTCTATGTCATTTCTTGCTTTAACATCTTAGATAATATATACCAACTTCTAGCTAGTCACGTATGGACCACAAATTACCATTGTTCTTTTCAACCTAAACAACTCTAATTATCATGGAGTAGAAACGTATTTATGTTCCATAAAAAATGCATATATAGAAGAGGTGATAAATAAGAACACGAGGTTAATGTATTTTTACTATTTTATTGTGTCAATTCCATTGTTTATCTATTACATCATTTGTGTCCTCACTATATAATCGCAAGATAGTAGGTTCTTAAAATGCAATAAGACCAGTTGTATATGAATATTCTCAGTAATTAATCTTATTATCTAGACCAATATGTGTGGCTGGCATTTCAAGTTATACTTCCACCACATAAAGTTAGAGAAGGAAACATTTAGAGAATTACTAGTTATAGTACTATGTTACTTGATATTGAATTTGAAGCACACACATTAATTGATTCTTGACATTGAAGTAAGTGAGAACAAATATATATCTTATAGAATTTGACCTTTTTTTTTATTGTACAAACATATATCTTATAGAATTTGGCCTTTGTTTTTATTACTATTATTATTATTATTTTTGTGAATAGGGTTTGACAGTTCAATTCAAAAATCAGCGACATATATAAAGTTTATTTGTTAGCCAGCTAACCATGACAATATGACATGTTGAATAAACTTAAATAGAAGGCATTATTAAGTTTAACAGCGGAGTTTTTATAAGATGCTTAATACTTAGTAACAATAGCTTTAATTAGGAAAAAAGAGGTAGCTATAGTACAATGAATAGGAGATTGTATCATTTTGTTTGAACAAAGATGTAACATTGAGTCAATAATAGAACCTTGAGATAAACAAGTCTTTAGGTGTTTGCTTTAGGAGTTCTCTGCAGAACCCTTTTGATGTATCATAAATACGTAGGCATTTGAGGTCTAAACATCAATTATATCTCCATTTGTTATGACAATATTTATTATAGTCTTCCTTAATAGAGTCAATATATTACGATGCTACTGTAAAGTGGCACAAGTGCAAGTCAAATGATACTATTTAGTTTCCATTTAACCAACATTGATTAAATGGACAAATAATTAACAGATATTCTGATTAATCACATATCATGTAGGGTGAAGCAGAGAAAATGGAAAGAAATTAACATACCAGTGGTTAACCTGGTAGAGTATAATCTTTACATCTGCTAATTTATTTGCTCCTTGGTATATATGCTCCGCCTACTGAATAAATACTTACATGTTAATCAGTCTATAGCATATAAGAAAAAACACAATTAATTAGTTTTCAATTTTAAAGAAGAAAACAGCAAAAGTTTAAACTTAATTACTGATATGAGATAACACATACAGAGTAACCATCTTCTGCGACATGGATTTGATGATTAATTTACCGACTATTTAGTGTGTGTGTGTGTGTGTATATATATATATATATATATATATATATTAATGACCACAACGGTTATAAAACCCCGGAAGTGAACATTTTGTTTACTAATTTATACATGTAGCCTCCCTGTATGCATGGATATTGTACTTGATTAATTTATAAAAAGTCATTTATGTACTTAATTAATACTGTTTGAACATTTTCTTTGGGAGCTAAAGGTGTACGTACTTTTTGAGTCATTTCTTTTAATGGATTGTTGCAGTACTATATGCGTACGAAAAAGTCAATAAAGGTATACTCTCCATATAATGGAGTGGAAAGGTTAGTGATCGAAATGATGTTGTTGTATACTATCTATAAAATCCTTAAAACTACCACAAGAATAACAAGAAATAAAGAATTAATTAATGAGAGGTTTCTGATCAGTACGTCATTATAGCACAACTTAAATGTTGCTCCATCCATCATTTTTTGACCTAAGAGGAAAATCACCAGTCAGATTAGAAATTTACAATAAAAAACATGTGTAATATATAGCTTTTAGTGGTATCCAAACTAATATGTGGCGGACATTTCACTTTAGAATTCAGCCACATAAAGTTTGTCAGAGGAAATTAGCCAACTTAAGTTGACAGTTTTCTTTTTCTAATAAAGACTGATTTTATAACTTAACCCATGAAATTAAAGTAACATATATAGAGGAAAGCAATCGGACTCTCAATATTGTTGATGATAATTTACGTTAATCTTAGGACTAATTAACTAGCCATGACACTTAATTATGTGTTAGATCAATGATTTGATAGCTTTAGAAGCAAGTTTCTTTATGTTTCTTAGGATATCTATACGACCGTTTTGGGCCTCACTCTTCACATATAATTGTTTAAGTTAATCTTCTTTCTCCATAAGCAGAATACCTTATTAAAAGAAAAGAAAAGAAAAAAGTCCTACAAAACCAAAAACATAAAACGTTTAATTACAAAATCGGAGAAGCAATCTATGAGAAATTCTAAGGGCCTAACTTTCAAAACGGATGCATGAATTCTGACAAAATTATTTTCGAAAACGATTCCTAAATACCAAAAATGACTCGCATAGTTTGGAAGCAATCTCAGTTTTTGTAAAGAAAATCAAAAAAAAAAAAAAAAAAAGCCAAAAGGAAAGATTTTCTCAGTTTAAAATTCTTCCACTTAACATTAAAAATCGAAGTTCTACCTACAAACTAGCAATATTTTCATGTTTCATAAAGATAGTAGCACGAGACTTCAGTAGAGTCCATCACACATTTGACAAACTGGTATGCGAGAAAGAGTGCGCATTTTCATAAACTGGCATGTATGGGAGCAATGAAATGATATTACCAAGAAAATAGCATTGAGCCATTAACACTAGTACTAGTACTCTTCTTTAGAACAACAATATATATCAACCAAGAACATGCCTTCAACACATATCTAGCTAGAAGTCTCCTATATACGTATACAAATACATGTATGCATACATATACATATGTACATATATATGAGTACATATTTCTAGATGAGAGACATCTAGAAAACGTCTTAACAAGGTCACATAGTGATCATTTAATAGGCTCATAAATAACCTTTATTTGTATGATTGCCATATATATTTAAGTTTTAAGTTTTATGTTTTCATCTTATAACTGATTGAGTTAAAATATCAACCCATCCACACGCAACAGCAAACGGGTATCAACCATAGAAATTGTATAAATTACCAGCTAATTTATGTTTAGAAAAGCTAGCTGTAAGAAAAATGGAAATTAGCAATAAAGGTATACCGTTGTTCACCCTGCAGATAAAATTATCTCCGTTATTTTTTTAATTGATTCTTGGAATCCACGCCTATTCTAAATCAAGTATAATTAATTCCATCATCTCTCTGAAATACAAAGACCTAAAAGTTTTATGGAAAAAAAAAAATAGTCAGTTGGCTAGCACTTGTTTACACAAAAAATTGAAAGTTCAATATTTGTTCTCTAAAATTGATAAACTCCACACATGAACATGAATCAACCTTAATTAGTTTATGCTTGAAGGCTTAAGCTTTTTGTACGTGCACTAATTTGATCAACTGTACATTATAAGATTTTCTTTCTGAATTTTTTTCTTTTCAATATTTTGTTTGGTGTTTTACAAAATTGCCTGTTCTGTTATGCAATTATTTACAAGTTCGAATGCAAGCTTTTCACTTGTTGCTAGTTGTCGTTTCTCTCCATTCATAAAAAAAAAAAATTAAAAAAAAAATTAAAAAAACATTAAGCTTTTCAAGAAGTGATCAAGCTTGTTAAAATTACCTGAACATGCCAAGTTGAAATCATAATTATCATGTATACCAAACCATTAATTGTATTAAACTCATGCTTGCTTTGGCTCAAGCATGCGCTTATCATCTATCGTAAGAATAGTCCTACTTAAAAGGACATTAATTCTTATTTTAAGAAAAACAAACTTTAATTTGGGTGCAGAAATTTTTGAAGAGAATGTCAAATACAAACACAGAATTTTGAGAGAATGCTGTTTAAATGTTTCTCTTGTACTTAAAAATAGTAAAACTGATCCTGTTTCACAAGGGCAAGAGAGATTAATAAAAATGAAAATGAAAGAAAAACATTGATACTCAACAAAAAGATTTTCTCCAATAATCTATTTTTACTTATTGTCTCTCTCGCTCCGTTTTTTTTTTTCTTTCTAATGGCATGGGATGGTTGGGGTTGGGGGTTCGATTCAGAGCTTGTAATCTTTATTTCTTATTTACAAGATGACACATCATGCTATAACATGTTGTAACTTTATAATAATACCGAATATTTGATTAAGTACGTTGGACTACTTGTTAATCTTTATGTGAAAAGATAACACAAAAGGAGTATATTTTGCACCTTAATCTCCATTAATCACGTCAATGCATCACCTTCAATTAATTAGCATTCATTAATAAAATTAAAGGACGGGGCCAGTCCCAACTATGAACCTACATCTTTTTAAAGATAAATATTAATTGCTAACCCCAAATGCGAATGTCATTTTTTATGAATAAGAATTAGCTCTGTTTATCAATATCATATTATATCCATATATATTTTGCGCTCAAAACAGTTATGCTTTTGCTAAGCACATGATATGCAATCTCAAAATTTCAAGTTTTAAAGAAGTATGAACCCAACAAAACCAATTATGGAAACATGGTCTAAAAGAATGCTTTTCATTCTCACGCAACCCAATATTTGAGGAACAATTGAGAATGGACAACTAGCAAATAAGTGGTGGTGGTAAAAACTACATGGTGATGTATACTTGATAGGGACTTCTCAAACATTCTCACCACAAAGTTCCACAAATTAAACTCTCAAACCAAGCTTATACATTACCGAATTGATCTGAACAGAAGTCGGACTACTTCTATATAAGGTAAATAATGATCATGTAATGCTTATAATTCATCAAACATTTCAAGCATAAATGTTGATAATTAAGAAGCACGAAAAAAAAAGGTCAAGTACGTACCTCAAATCTTTTAGCGGCCAGCCCTGAAACAGAAAGCCAAAAGCAACAGTTACACGTTTTGCGTGTAACATGGTGTATTTATATATATGCAATGAAAGAGATGCAATATACATATATATCTATATATATATATATATATATGTTTATATAAATAGGTGTTTATATATATCATGACCAACCGAATACGTTACAGAAATGTACGTATATATAGCAAGGACACACATACATGTATACTTGTGTAAGAGCGTACGTGGAAATTGTGTATATATATATACATACATGTAAATGGTAAGGCAAAGTTTGATGATGACTTGTCATACACGGTTAAACATAATAGCACCTTAACTGATATAGGTTGCCTTTGGTAGTGATTTTTAAAACCCAAAATCATTTCTCTAGCAATTAGAAGTTGATAATAGTATTTGGTAAAAAGCATAAAACATGATTTTTAAAGAATTTTTGAAGAATCTACAGCCAAAATTAGAAGCAACCAAAAGCAACTTTATCTTTTTAATTGTGCAGGAATCAACATAGTATAAGTAATGATTATCAACAAAGTTATATTAAATAATTAAATAATTATTAAATATTAATTACTTTATATATTAATTTAATATTATTAATTACGGTCATCTTAACTACCCACAACTATTCACTCTCACAATTTACTAAACACAATTACATTATTGTTGGAACCAACAACACATAATTACAGTTTATCAAATATTCAACTATTTTTTATAATAATTGTTTTTTTGCGCTAAAAGTAAGTTTTTCATAATTTACAACACTACGGAGCTGATGGATATATAACCCAAGTATTGGCAAAGAGAAAAGGAATGATAATATATTTTTTTTTTTAATTTTTATTTTTAAAAGACCTCCTTATATTTTTATCTGGTTAAAGTAAAACAATTCCAGAAAATCGTGATAGATACACATTATTAGGTACCTTTTTTAGCTGCAAAATGTTAGGTACTTAATAATAAAATGTTTGTTTATTCAAAATGATAATACATGTTCTAGTGGGTGCATATCATACAAAATGGAATGGAAATAGACCGAAAAGAAGATATATTGGGCCCTGAATACTTTCTGGTCCATTAATGTAGGCCCAATGTATCTTACCATTAATATGGGCCTTTGTAAAGTGAACCCATATCTCTTGAAAAATGCATATTTTCATGGTCTAATGTCTTGTATGATGGAATTCTCGAGAAAGAGAGAGAGAGTTCTGCATGACGGGAAATTCCCTAAAAACCATCATTTCCCGAAGCAATAAAGTAAAACAAAACATAAACTAGATATTAGGACTATAAAGTTTGTCCATTTCCCCAAGCAATAAAGTAAAACAGAACATGTACTAGATATTAGCACAAAAAAGTTTGTTCAATGTACAAAGCCGATTGACGTGTTGAAAAACTTTTTGCCGTTAGATATTTCACCTAAAAGACTCTGTAATCCCCCTTAAAAAAAAAAAAAAAAAAAAAAAGAAGAAGAAGAAAGGACTAAACCTGTGACAAAATAACCATGCACATACGACAAAAAAAACAAACAATTGTGAAGTTTCTGATTAAGAAAGCAAAAAGGGAAAAAAAAAAAGTTTTTAAGTTTAGGGTTAACCTTGATTAGATAAGAACCGGCCAAGATATTTTCTGTATTTATCGCAAACAACCCACCTTTTTTAATATTATTAGAGATGAGTCTTGAAACTAATCACATGAACTAATGAATGAATTAAACAATAAATTGGTAGAAAAATTTAGTCTTATATAGATCTCGTACCTTTGAATAAAATCAACACTATCTTCTTTTTCTCCTCCTGCACCTCCTTCTTCATGGATTGGTTGTGTTTTTCCTTTTCCTTTTCTTTTTCTTTTTTGTTTTATGTAGCAAGGAAACTCAACTACAAAAAAACACTAGAAGATCCATGACAGTCTTAATGAGCTTTTGCCATACTCAAATGGGAGGGAAAGTGTTTGCATATTTTTTTCCAGAGAAAAATCATATCAGGAAAGTTTGCGTTGTGGAGTTAATATATAGCTTACCTGTTGGGGAACTCGGAATCCAGTAGCACCAGAAGTAGTACCAACGTTGCTCACAGAATTAGCAACCAAAGAATTGTTCCACTTCTCCAAATGATTCACCAAATAAGAATATGTCTCATAATCAACAATTGGTGCAGTTGTACCAGTACTAGTAGTACTTGTTTGGCGAATATGATCATGATTAGATACTTGGAAAATATTCCAGCCATTTGGATTCGAAATCGGTAATATTTCCTGCGAAAACTCATAACGCTGATCATATCTAGAAACTTGCATCACAGCCCCAAGGGAGGAGTTAGGAATAACAATATTGTTATTCATGTCAATGTCCATCATGTTTTGGTTTGGTAATTGGTCTCCAGTTTGTTGTTTCTCCTCAGATTTGTTGCTTGCAGGTTGGTTGATCTTGAGGCCGTGATAATCATGATCTTTCGACCCTTTTGCTCATTTTCTCTCTTGTCCTCTCCCTTGCCCTTTCCCTCGCTTTTTCCCTCAGCTCCTTTGCGAGCGGATTTATTGCAATCCTTTTCGAGTTTGATCTGCTCTACTTCTTTCTCTCTTTTACCAAAGGCTTGGAACTACTAGTACCGGCAACTCCTTGATCTTCTCCATTGATCCCCACCTCGTCCAAACCCGAAGCCCCTTCACAGCTTTCGGAATTCGGAGAAGGCGTTTGCATCTCCGGACAAGTACTACTGCAGCCACCTTCATTGTTTGAGTCCTTAAGTTTCTTAATCTCTGATCTCGCCTTTCTGAGCAGCCACTCCACGGTCTTGCTAGCCCTCTCGAATCCGAGGAGCTCTTGGAGATCGAAAAACTCACGAGCAACGTCAATGGACAGCCTCATTCTCCGGTGCCTCGGTCGGGTTCTTGCTATGGCGGTCTTTCCTTTTCTTGCTCTTGTTGTTGCCACGATCTCCGCAGCCGCCACAGCTTCTCTTCCTTAGGATCTGCGGCTGATCATATTGGTCAATTGGAGCAACAGATTTGCTTACATCTTCCCCTGAACGATCCGAATCCGACTTGACTAATTTGCTGCCGGTAATTGTAGGAGTAAAAGTCTCAGATGGACGTAATACATCACTTGTTTTCTCAGACAATTCTTTCACAAAAGAGGGTTGTGAGTAGTAGAACTGATTCGAAACATTCATGCCATGACTGTTTTGTGGCAAAAGGTTTTGGTCTTCAAACGGAGATGTGTAAGCGTTGGGGAAAGACAAAGGCTGATCAGTACAAGAATGATATTGAGGATGATCAAGATGGTGAGACACTTCTTGTTTGGAATTGAGGGTATAAGTATATTGATATTCTTCTTGGTTTGGAAAAGGCTTTTGGAAATTATGGGAATACTATTGGTCATGAGAAAGGGAGTTAATGGGGCATTGTTGTTAACACTCCAAGAGTTTGACGGTAAGTCAGAACTTTTTTTTTTCCCTCTTTTTTGTGTGTAATTTGTTGACTGGTTGGCTTCAAATTACACTGAAAAATATTAAGCTAGAAGTCTTTCTCATGGTGACGGTAAGAGGGGGGTTACTGTTGGGGGGCTTTGGCATTGACCAAGTTTAGTTAACAGTAAACTACTATATAGTAGAGGTATAATATTGTATGTGAGAGAGAGATCAGAGAGAGAAAGGACCAACTAGCTAGACTTCCATCCTTTTCAATTCATCATTCCTTTTTCTCTTTGTTTTTCTACCTAGCTGGACAGCAGCTCTCTTTCTTTCTCTGCAAAAAAAAAAAAAAAACAATGAGAAAGACAGCCATGTGTATTACTGTTGACGTCCTTTACAGTATATAAAGCTTGAGAAAGACATCTGCTAGCTTAATGGTGATCATAAAGTACGTAAATGTATCATACGTGTGTGTGTGTGTGTGTGTGTATTGTGTGTCATATTGTATGAGGGAGCTAGAGAAACAAATTGTAACAAGATTACCTAGATCTTGATCGAAGGAGGCCTTGGAGCTCTAGAGAGAAATGGAGATTCTGGTGAGCAATGTGGAGAGATCGCAAAGGTTCTTGTATGAGGGTTTTGAGAAGAAAGAGGAGTATATATTTATAGAAAGAACCCTGCGTATAAAAACTATATTTTTTTATAAATAAACCCCACAAAACACTATATTACAATATTATTAATAATACCAATAATAATAATAATAAAGATGTATGGTTAATCGAGGGTAAAGAAGGACACGAGGAAGGGAGGGGAGTTATTGCAGACAAACTAAAGAGCCATCTTTTCTACACCTTATTTCAAAAAGTTGGTCGTGTGAGAGTGAGACTCAGAACCAATGTTGAGGATAGTGAGTGGACAGGAAACCTATGGGGGCGTTTGGTACGTAGAAATCAATATGAATCATATTCTCAGGAAAGTGATGGAGGGTAATATAATTCCTAGGAATAATACATTATTATGTTTGGTTCCATACAGGAATATTTTTCAAATTCTCAAGAATATTACATTACTGTGTTTGGTTGTTCGCATGGAAGAAGATCCATAATAATAATAATAATAATAATAATAATAATAATAATAAAAATAATAATTATAAATATAATAATAATAATAATAAAACTAATAATAATAATAAATAAAATAATAATAATAATAATAACAATAATAATAACAATAATA